CTAAAACACTCCACCTCTGTAACGTTGCATCTAGCTGTCCCTCTGCTGCATGGCTTCACTCCAAGACTCAATATTTTTCAGAACTGTATTTTGAACTAGTATTTCAGAACTATATATGAAATATATTCCTTATCTGTATTCTTGGCCAGAGGCAGCCTTATTTTCAGAAGCTAGTGGCAGAGAGTGTTTTTCAGGAGGGAATCAGAATTTATTCAAGATGTCTCAAATTGAGTGGGGAAAACCAATGGTCTTTCTAGAAGATATCTTTAAGAAGGATGTCAGTGATCCTAAGAAACTAATAAATGCTTCAGCCCTCAACTTTTTCTGTGACCCACACAGTACAGGAGACAAATGCAGAGAGAGAAAACCCCATCTCTTTGTATTCATTATCACTACCCTCTAATGGGATTCTTCAGGGCAAGACTTTAAGTGACAGTGACCTGCCGGCCATCAGGGTTTGAGTCCTTGATCAATACAGCAATGGGGCAGGGGGCAGTTATTTGGGGGTTGCCACAGACTCTCAGCAAGTAATGAATTGCAACAATAAATACCATTGGGCATTATTGTGGCATCACGGACCACGAAGCCTAATACTACTTAGAATGGAGAAGGATGTAAAAGTCAAACAATCACAAAAAAGGAGCTTGATTCATTCCCATTCAAAACCAACAAAGGGAGTGATATTGAAACCAGGAAGGATCTGGTCAGTGAAGTTTTGAAAGGAAGTGAACTATGAGATGTAACATTGTGTAACAACGTGATGAAGGAGGGAGTTTCAAAACCAACAAAGGGAGTGATATTGAAACCAGGAAGGATCTGGTCAGTGAAGTTTTGAAAGGAAGTGAACTGTGAGATGTAACGTTGTGTAACAACGTGATGAAGGAGGGAGCACCAGAGTAATTAGGATAAGTCAGAAATATTTTTTTTGCATCATCAAGATGAGCTGAATATGCAACAAATTTAATTGGCAAAGCAGCAGATTCTCATGATGAGCAAGGTTGTTTCATAGACACAAGGAGTTCAAGAAAGTGGAAAATAGTGCTCAATTGTAAAATCTTTTCTTGACCCTCCTCTTGTCATATGGTCCCTGCCAACTTGGCTAAGATTATATTTATTTTATAGTTTCCTGAGTATTGAAATACAGCTTTAATTATTAATTGTATTTTCTGCTGAAACCATGATTCTTGTAAGAGTTTGCCATAAATCTCTCTCCCGGGGAGCCCCTTCTGCCTTTTCAACTTGCAACGCTGTGAAAATGTGTTTATAAATTTATAAATTACTAGGCAGGGACTTCTATGAGAGAAGAAGATTGCTTGGGGTGCCCTGTTGCTCTTTATTTCACATGGAATAATCTTTGTACATAATATTGAAATAGTTTCATAGTTCCTAAACCTGAAAATATTTTGCTGTGGGTGACCTTAGTTTTGTACGTTCAGCTTTGGTAGAAGGTTGTGAGGATCCTCAGCAGAGTGACAAGTCACACCCCCCTGAATTTTTGTTGTGTAGAGAAGGAAGAGTTTCTCTATGACCATTTTGCAGTGTATCATCACCATTTAATTAAAGTCCATACACTGACCAGAAGAATCAGAGGCAATCTGGGGGTGTTAGGTAGGTGCAAGAGGTTTTTAACCATTTAGGGTTTGTCTGGGGAAAAATAGAAGATGTCAGAGACATAAGAGATGAGAGTCTGATCCACAACATAGTTTTATGACAGCTCGACTTGCAAGTCTTCAGCTGACGCTGTGAGACGAACAAGGAAAGTTCCATCAAAATGTGCAACTAAGCATTATTTCTCCAGAGGTTTCATGGAAAGACAGCTAAGGATTACGCAGCAGGAAATATTATTTCCATCTTCAAAGCACCCGAGTGGCTCAGCTGCACTGAGTAAATCCAAGCAGTCCCTGCCCTCTGCTGAGTGTTATGGAATGGCAGAGGAAAACCAGATATCCCTGCATGAATACCCCATTTTCCCTGTTTATTTTTCTTAATCCCAAGGTGTTTATCTCTTTCAGTGATTTCACCAAAATTATTGAAGGAAACGCAAGCTAGAAAAATAAACAATGAAGAACAAAAAAATGGAATTAGCAGAAGGCAGGAAGCTGATGGAGAAGGGGATTGCTGGGATTTGGCAAGGTCTGCTTTGTTTTTTCTTACTTCTGTCTTCACCCTAAAAGAATTTCTTGCTTTCTTAAGTGATCTTGTGGACTTAATAGTGACAGATCATCTCCTCTGAGTGAGGTCTGGTGCGTGCAATGCTTGGCTGCATCAGCAGCTTCTCCTTGCCCTTTGTGACCTTTCTGTAAAATTGTCTGACCTGCTAATTTTCCTTCCTCCTTTTTTTTTTTTCTTCTTCCGTATGGAGACAGGTTTTCTACCTTTCCTCTGGCCTGGGAGGGCAGGACCTGCTGCTGAGTGTAAAACCCACCCAAATTCTAAGTGTAGGGATGGCAGGAATAGGCACACCTGTATTTTCCTTCCCAGCTCTTCCTCTGAATCAGAGACTGATGTGACGACAAACACTTTGCCCTGATGTCTCAATTGTCTTCCCTGTCACAACCACCTGGACTGCAGGGGTGTTGGGAAAATGCTGTCTTTTAAAGTGTGTGCCACATTCCTAACCCTGTAGTCTCCGGCTGGGGGATGCCACACCTGCACCTGCCTGGCAGCCAGCTCTGGAAGGGTGCTGTGCCTGTGGGACTAGGCATAGGGCACTTCCTAGTGGGATTCCCTCTGTGGCTGGTGTCCAAAAGACAGAGAGATGCACATCCCATCAGCCTTATGTTTTGTTACCCATCACAACGACATGAGAAAGCACCCTGGGTGCCTTTGGACACGTGTACCCTAGGACTTTTAGGAGCTGGACAAACATCACCCATTGGTGGTGATGCACCCACCAGTAGCCAGCCCCATGTGGGGCGAGGTGCCCATGGGATCAGGCACAGAGAAATTCCCAGTGGGCTTTGCTCCAGGGCTGGTGTCCAAAAGACAGACAGATGCACATCCCACCAGCCCTATGTTTTGCTACCCATCACAACAACAGATGTAGTGTCCTGGGTACCTTGGACATGTGGACTCCAGGACTTTTAGGAGGTGGACAAACATCACGCATGGGATGGGATGTAGAGGGAACAATAGGTCTGACAAACATCTGTTTGAGAGATTTGAGAAGATTCTGGAATTTTACCACTGTATCCACGATCTATGCAGTGCAATACGCTCAGCTTTGCTGTATTTGGTTTCCAAGGCCATATTGAGCGCCGACCCCTGGATGCAAGGAATCAGCCCAGTTCAGCCTGCGGTTTTCTCTTGGCTGATAAACATGGTAACAATGTGGTTAGTTAAGACCAGCTATGCCAGAAGTTTCATGCACTTCAGCACATGGAAAACTTGGCGTTTTGAAGACTGCATGAGTCAGACCATCAGGGATTTTGACTGTCGAGAGAGGAAGAAGTCGGTAATCCTCATCAGGTTTACTGGATCAGGATGCATTTATTCCTCTGTTTAGGGGAAAATGCCTCTGTGAGCTTGTTGTGGCAAGGAGTGAATACAGATCCTTCTGCTGTTCACCGAATCCTGAAGTATGCCCATGCTCTCCAGGCTCCCCTCACCCCTGCTATTTTAGTAGATGTGCCTGACCCCCGTTTGCTTTCCTTTCCCGTATCCTTCTAGGACACACTGGGAGAAACGATGTGGTGGCTTAGACATAACTGTTGCCAGGAGGGCTAAGGAAGGGCCCCACAGATGCCTCGCTCTGCTTGTGAGGTCTTGAGGCTCACCATGCTCACAGGGGTCGTTGTATTTACACCACTAGAATGCAGGAAACAGGAGGCCTGGGTAATGTTCACTGTGTATATGCTTATGTTAGATTTTGGTTTGGATCACTACAAAGACACGGTACCTGTGTAACATAGAATCATAGAATGGTTTGGGTTGGAAGGGACCTTAAAGATCATCTAGTTCCAAACCCCCCTGCACTGGGCAGGGACACCTCCCACTAGAGCAGGTTGCTCCAAGCCCCATCCAGCCTGGCCTTGAACACTTCCAGGGATGGGGCATCCACGACTTCCCTGGGCAACCTGTTCCAGTGCCTCACCACCCTCAGAGTAAAGAATTTCTTTTTAATATCTAATCTACATCTTCCCTCTTCCAATTTCAAACCGTTACCCCTTGTCCTTTCACTCCACTTCCTGACAAAGAGTCCCTCTCCAGCTCTCCCGTAGGCTCCCTTTGGATATTGAAAGGCCGCTATAAGGTCTCCCTGGAGCCTTCTCTTCTCCAGGCTGAACAACCATAGCTCTCTCATAGAGGGTACTCCATCCCTCTGATCATCTTCGTGGCCCTCGACTGGACCCGTTCCAACAGATCCATGTCCTTCCTGTGTTGAGGACTCCAAAGCTGGACACAGCACTCCAGGTGGGGTCTCACGAGTGCAGAGTAGAGGGGCAGAATCACCTCCCGTGACCTGCTGGCCATGCTTCTCTTGATGCAGCCCAGGATGTGGTTGGCTTCCTGGGCTGCCAGTGCACATTGCCGGTTGATGTTAAGTTTCTCATCCACCAACACCCCCAAGTCCTTCTCCTCACAGCTGCCATCCGTGCTTATGAAATGTTTAGGGTCTATGCTGGGGTCTGGGATTGCCTTTTAATGTCTCAATGCAAGAGATTAGTCATTGAGGATTATTTTGGCATCAATGGGCTAAAGATTTGGAAACCCTACAAATCAAAGCACAAAACATGATATTGTGATGCTGAAAGGATTTTATTGAAACTGACAAATGGGATTTTTCAGATCACAGCAATACTGCAGGGAACAATAGAGAGCAATTAAGTTAAATTTACACAAAAGCAAAGTATAAAGAGGGTGAGCACAGAGCCAGAACGTTGTCAGCAGAGATCTGATTTAAAGGGAAATACAGCGTCTGGGCTTGCTTCTCAGGATGGATGAGCATGCCCAGCTCCTGAGGCCTCCTGCTGCCCCTTCAGAAAGCTGTGCTCCTTGGCTTACTGCTTGCGAATTTGCTCGTGGTCCTTCTTGGTCTGGCCAGTAACCACAGAAGGCTTGAGGGGCTGATATATCTTGCAGCTGCGGGAATAGCAGGAGTAGGAGTACCTGCCACCCTGGGAGGCCCCGGACCCAACGGAGCCCCCATAGCCCGAGGAGCCCCCATAGCCCAAGGAGCTGCCAATCCCCAGTGGGGCTGAGCTGCCAACGATGCTCTCCTGAGGGCAGGTGCTGAGGATGGGGCCTGGGAAGGTGATGACCACGGGTGGTGGGTAGACCACGGCACGGGAGTCCCCGCAGGATGCGACGCAGGGCTGGCTCCAGGATTTGGTGATGGGCTGTGGGCAGCTTGTGTCACAGGGTGAGTAGCTGCCAGAGGTGCAGGGCTGCTTGCAGGAGCTCATATTTCCGGTTGTACACCTGAAACACACAGGGTGGGGAGAGCAGGGGTCAGAGGCACCAGTGCCTTGGCAAAGGGGAGCCCTTAATTATTCAAACCAGGGACAATGAAGGAACACATTCAGATGGCAAATGCCACAGGTAAATCTCTTTAGAATTAAAGGTGAGAAAGAAAATAGAGTAAAATGCATTTTGGCTATTACTCTGTTTCACATCTTGGAATAGTTCTTACAACACTCCATATCTGAATTTCTCAGTAGTAAATTGAACTCCCATCTTAGCTCAAACCCTCCCTTGCCCCAAAAAACACAACTTACTTGGTTGAAGAGCAGAAGAGCGACGAGACTCACAGAGAAGTGGTTGGTGGACTCTGGGCTACAGGTGCTTTTATATGGTTCCTCCGTTTGCCCTGGGGGAAGTGAACCATTCGTGTCCTCGTTCATACTCATTGTCCCTCCGATACTTTTTTGTCTTTGCGTATGTCACTCAATTAGTGTGATTGGTTTGCATATTATTTCTTCTAAGAAACTCCACCTCAGATGTTTTTATGTCTACATCATAGTCCTTAGACTTCTTGCATGTCAAAAAAGGTCCGATTTCCATCTTTGTTATAGCTCTGTTGACTTCATTGGAGACAGAGGGAGATCAAGATTTACTTTGCTATGAAACTGTGAATTAATTCTGTATTATAATTGCTGTATTATGACTTGATATTTCTATCTGAGTTGACTGTATATTAGTGTTTCCTGGTTTTTCAGTGTTACAAATTTTCAGAGTATTACAAATACTAAGAGCTGGAGACAGAGATCTCAGACCTTTGTCAGAAGGCACACTAGTCTGATCCTTCTGTTACTATTTCAGTTTAACTTTTTAGCTTTTTCTAGCAATTCATTTATAGGGAAAGAAACCTTGAGTTTTGGAAGCAGTACTTTTAAATCCTTCTTTTTAAATTCAAAATCTTCAGCTTTGGACTGTGAACTACAAATTGCCATCATGGGAAATAATTTAGCAATACCCTGAACTGAGCGCTGCAAAACACGGTATTGGATTGTGCCCTGTTTAATGACAGGGCTTAACTTCAACATATGGAACACAGAAATTAATATACAGCTCTTAGTTAATGTAACTGAGCTTAGAAGGGAGGCAGAAGCATTGTCAGGATGATCAGCCTTGATTTAGGGAATCCTTTTTTAATTAATCCTGATGATTTCATACATCAGTATGCATTGCTTGTCCTATTTGGAAACAGAAGTACAGAAATAGTATGATTAAATCTCAGCAACCTGTGTTAGCCACCATGTCCCTGTCCTATGTTTTTGTCTGGACTGGGACATGCCAGAAAGTTTGTCTCAGTTCTGTTTGAGGGTATTGATTGCACAGCCTTAATTTCCTGTAAAGGAGTTTTTCTTCTCTGTAGACAGGACTTTTTCTTGCCATTATGTCTTGGAGATGCGTATTTAGCTTGTCAGTGCCTTGGAGCTGAACGATCTCCTGTTTTGCTTCTTACAGTTCTCTAAACAATGGTCCTTGACTCAGTGTCACAGGGCAGGAGATAAAAGAATGAGGCCTTGGTGCGCTGAGTGCTCCTCCCAGCTCTCCCACTGAATCAACAAGTGTGGCTGAGTGTGTTATTTAGCCTCAGTCTTTTAATAATCCCATCAAGAAATCAACAATAAAAATTACCCAATTCATTTGGGTGTTGCACAAATAAGTGGTTGTGCACAAAGCAGTGAAAAAGCAATGGGTTTGCATTCTCTTGAGATATAAAAGGACTAAGATTGAGAAATAATGATGGGAGTATCAAAATGGGCAGCAACTAAACTGGTGTTATCACAAAGTAAATGTGATTTCCAGGGAAGGAGTTGAAAAGGACTCCGTAGTCTGAGAGCACTTCCAGAATCTGAGGAGGAAGACGACTATTGGGTGAGGATGAAGAAAAGAAGATAATGATTCAGAAGTGCCTGGTTTGGAGGAAAAGTAATTAGCATAGGTCAGGTGCCATCTGGTCATTGCTTTACTTTTAGAAGGGTGACTGGTCACTCCTGGCTCAGATGAACTCTGCCTGGGGTAGACCTGCTCTCCCAAATGTGCTGAGCCCACACGGCGTGTGCTAGAAACCAGAAAATACAGGTTTATTTTTTCCCATACCCCACTACTCCTCCCCCATTCTGTGCTCATTCTGGCAGCAGGCGCTGCCACTTGCCCCTTCATACTCAGACCTTCAAATGTCATGGCACCATGGGTGCGTATTTTACAGTGTGCATCTTAGAGGCCATTTTTCACAGTCAGTTCCATCGGGTAGTTACCCACCTTGCAAACACAGAAAGAAAAACATTGTAGATGTCCACTTGCAGGTGGCCATTTTTCACAGTCAGTTCCATGGGGTAGTTACCCACCTTGAAAACACAGAAAGAAAAACATTGTAGATGTCCAATTTATAGAAATCCTTCACCATCCCTCGTTCTTCCTCCATCCCTTTAAGAGTATGCCCTAACTCATATGGTCACTGAAGCTGCTTTGGCAACCTTGGCTATCATCCATCTGGGTTTTTAAAGATTTAATTCCAGAGGTATTTCACAGGACCAAGGAGAATGTGTTGCAAGACTTGGAGAGTGAGGATTCCCCTCTGCTGCCTTCCAAATCTGACAGATCCTGGGGGTTTGGGGTTTTGCCTTGAAACTAATTACATTGGAACTGATCTCATGAATCACTGCATACTTTGGGTGAACACCATGGCCAAATCCTCATCTGCCTCCAAGTTAACCTTTTCCTTTCACAGTTTGTGCTCTATTAAGTATTTCCACCCCCCTGCCTCTTCCCCAGCAGGTAAAATACTGCTCTGCGTGACACCCAGATGAAATGGGAAATTACTACTGATGACTTCTAGAAGAGATGATTAAGACAGAGGCCACATAATTTACCAAACATCTCTTAGCAATTAAGTGAGCCTCTGGGAGGAGATCCAGGGCATGTCTTGTACTTGTTAGTGTTATTATTTGTAATTATAATTCTATTATCTCTTAACTTATGTAAACTAGGTTGGTGCCCAGATACCACGAAAATAGAGAGCTCAGACAGTCACCGCTGTCGGGAACCAATAAACGAAACCAAGTAGTTTTAGGTATGGTGAAAGGAAGGATTACTCTCCCTGCTGGAGAGAGCCTCCAGTGCAGAGGGCAGGTTGGCCTCGCCCCAACACACACAGGACAAGGAGGATGTCTAAAAACCTCTCCCCAAATTCCTGGCAAAGATTACATTGGAAATCTGCTTCAGACCTCTGTGCCTTAGCCAGGACACCTTTACCTTGCCCCAGGTCTAGACCTGATGTTGTTTTCTGATTTCTGTATTGTAATTTCCTTGGTAGGTTCAGGAGCAAGACGAGGGTGATGTCTTTTTTTATAATAAATAGAGAAAAAATCAGAACATTTCCATCATGTCTGATAAATTCACAGGAGCACAGATTACAGCTCACCGTAGGGCAGGGACACAGTTCTTTAAATGAGTTTTGATGTCAAGAGGGAATCATCATGTGTAATGTAACCCAGCTCTCCAATTACTAAATGCTGTAAGCAATATTTTTGACACTTAAATCCTTTAAGATCAGCAAATTTAAACACAGGTGCAGGAGGACCCCAGCATTTGACCCCTCACTTTGATCTGTGGTCTGTTACACAAAGTAAGGAGCTGGGTATAATTTTTCCAGTTGTACATTTAATTATTACAAACTCCTGTATGCAGCTAGACTGGGATGTGCTGTCGGAAAGAACCCAATGTGATGTTTCAGAAGAAAAGAGTTATTAAAAGCAGTATATATTGGAATAACTTGAGCAGGAGGCGAATTCCTTCCCCATATTTCAAAGCAAGGATTTCCTTCCCCTTTTTTTATCTTGTTTGTAACTAGGGTGATATACAATAATATTCCCCAGGAATGAAGTGGGATAGGGAGAATTCAGCAGCATGGCAGTCCCATTTCTCCTCCCTCTACTTCCCCTTCAAAACAGGCTGTAGAAACTCCCTATTAACATCAAAAAGGCCCTTATATCACAGAGCTGCTTCTCTGTGGCTTCGAACAGAATGATCATTATAATTGAAGTACCCGAGGGCTGTGGTCTATAGATTTTTTGTCACCTATTGAGGAAAGCAGAGAGTGGGGATAAAAAGGAAGCAGAATGGTAAAAAGGTTTCCAGGTTTTATCTCCCTTTGCAACTAGAAGCTTTGAAAACCTTTACACCACGCGTGACAAATTCCATCTATTATTTACAAAAATAAGTCTGTTTTGTCAAATCAGCAATCTTCTGTTTTATTGCTCTGAGTTATGTGCTTTGAAACTCCGAGAAGTGGAAGAAGGAAGTTAAGTTCTGCAATGAGTAGAAAGAAACTAAGGGTGAATACCATCCCTGCTTTGAGATGAAAGAGTTCTTTAGCCCGTGACATGGATGTGATACCATCCAACTAAAAATTGCTTAAGAGCAAGCAATATGCAAAGATTCCTCCACCCGTTGACGTGACAAATGCAGGAAAGTTTGTTTTGTAAGGAGGAAGGGCCACATGCCCGAAGCATGGCTCAGCCCCTAGACCTGCACTCAGCTACCCTATAAAAGGTCCTGGAACACAGAATTCTTCAAACCATTCTTCTCGGCTTCTCCTTGGTGGTGAACTGAGTAAGTCTGACTTCAATTTAACCTATTCTATGAGTTTAAAAGCTATTTTACTGCTGCTTTTCATGTACTTATGTCTGAGCACTTTATATGTCTTTGCTTATTATTGGAAGAATGTTACTTTCCTAAGAAAAAGATTCTCTAATTTCTTTCAGCTCAGCAGCTTTGGAGGGTGTGGGGTGGATATGGAGAACATGGGGCTTCAAGAGCTGCTGGCATGGTTCAGAGAAGGAATGCTTAATGATTTTATCTGTGCCTGGGACTGCTTTGCAAATGAAGGCAATAGTTTTAAGAACAGCTTTAAATAAATATTGCTAAGTTAATCCTCACCTACCCTGAAAGAGGCTTTGCTGACTTCTGTCAGGTTATCTAATCTTCATTATTTCTGCATGTGAATTAAAATCACACTTTATACTTAACTATCAAAGAGTAACTTTCTGAATATTGTATGGCTTGAATAAATGAGGGCTACCCTTTGCAAATGCACCTGTACTGTCGCCTCTAACCCCTGCTCTCCTCACCCTGTGTGTTTCAGACTTACTTCTAGCAACAAAGATGAGTTCCTACAGACAGGTCTGCAACTACGGCAGCTACTCACCTTGTGAAGTGAGCTGCCCCCAGCCCTACGCCAGCGCCTGCAGCCAGCCCTGCGTCGCATCCTGTGGGGACTCCCGTGCCGTGGTCTACCCACCACCCGTGGCCATTGTCTTCCCAGGCCCCATCCTCAGCTCCTGCCCTCAGGAGAGCATCGTTGGCAGCTCAGCCCCACTGGGGATTGGCAGCTCCTTTGGCTATGGAGGCTCCTTGGAAGGCCAGAGCTCCTTCGGGTCTGGTGCCTCCCAGGGTGGCAGGTTCTCCTACCCCTGCTATTCCCGCAAGTACACCACTTACAGTCGTGGGAGCTGTGGGCCCTGTTAAGCCCCATGAGGAGCCAGACCCAGCAGGGACATGAGCAAAGTCCCAATCCATGAGTGAGCAGAGGGACATGGCTTTCAGAGGGGCAGCATATCAGGCTGCAGTGGGGTCCTCAGGGGCTGGGGACATTCAGCCACCCTGAGAAACAAGCCCAGACATTGCATTTCCCTTCCAGTTGGATTAGGTATCTCCCAAGAAGATCCCAACTCTGTGTTTGAGGGGCTGTTTACTTGACAAATATAGATAAGGCCTTAGTTTAAATTTAAATTTAAGGTTAAGCATCAGTGCCAATTAGATTCTGTATGTTCTAGCCTTTCTTGATGTATGGACTGATTTTTCATCAGTTTTGAGAAATAGTGGGGAAAAACTTCCCAAATCTCCAGTTTGATTCTCGGAGCTGCCCTGTTTCACACAGCGTGGGACTGAAAAAAAACCACAAAACCAGCAAAAAAACCCTTTTGAAAACCAAACTTGACTCTCAAACACTGCAAATGCAATGAAGACAGAAGATCATCTAATGAACTGCAACCCCCGAAGAAGATAACCATGTCCATCTCCAGCAAACTCTGTAAATGTATTCTGTGCTCTCTGGATTGTCATGTTCTGCTGCTATGAAGTCCTTCTCCTGTTTCAATTAAAGTTTATATTGCATCACAACTCTTGCCTTCTGGTTTTCTTTTCTCCTCAGCTTAAAAGTATTGGAGAATGATGCTGAAATGATGCCTCATTTGAGACCCAGGCTCCTCTGGGTGTTAAACAGCAGCAAAGGACAAGATGTCCTGGGCTTTGTGTACGTTGTCTACATGTCCACAAGATGAGAATGTCCCTAAAATCTTTTGTAAAGATTCGTGGTGAAAGGGGTGGGATTAAACAGTCACACTGGACTGTGGATCAGAGGTTATCTTCATCCTTCTGTGAGCTTAAAAAGAGGAGTTGTCCTCAGTATGTTCACTGCATTTTAAAGGGTATTTGCTGGTTAAGGTCTTCTGCTAATTGCAAATGCCAGTATCAGGAATAGATTTCCATTTCTGTCCTGGGAAAGCCCTGGCTTCAGCTTCTGTGTGGAGCTGGACCCCAACAGTGCAGAGGCACCGGTGTGCAGCTTGATTTCCTTTGGCTATTTAGAGCATTCTCTTCTTGCTAAAATTGAAGGGCCAGATCTCTTATTTCCAAAGGAACGGAGTACTTGTGAGTGGAAGAAAACTGCCTTCAGGTGACTACTGGAAACTTATTGTATCATCTGGAAGAGAAACCAGGGATCTCAGAAGGAAGAGAAGCCTTTTCATTGAAACAGAGGTAAGTGGAAAACTGGGGTGGAATGAACACCACATCAGTGCTATGCAACATGGCTTTTAATTGGCATGAGAAGCAGAGTTATTAACAGTTGTGGTAACACAGGGAATAAAGACAGACACTTCAGGAGCATTTATATCACAAAATTTGTCATATCAAGTCATTTGTTACAACATCTGCTTTCCGTATTACAGCTGTATAACCTGGGTTATGTCCTATATTGATCCCTTTACAATATATTCCTTTTAAAGCAGAGTGTACGAAAGCAAACAAGGTTTCCATTACTCTTGTACTGTAGTGCCATGGAAGGCCAGAAAACAATGTATAAATTCCTAGGACACATTAAACTGAACATTTTTTAACCTCAAGGGTACTGAGGACACCTCAATACTTGCAGTGCACAGATCTTTTTTTGCAACTGAACATCCAGCCCATCCCCAGGAATGGTGCAATAAATGCATAGAAGGGGAGGTATAAACAGAACATGCCAAAAGCCTGAAGTGTAAAATGGAAAATACAATCATAGGTTGAGCTGATTACATTTTTCTAGCAAATAGCAAATTTTCTCCAAGATGGAGCTCTAGGGTAACACAAATTTTCACCTAAAGCAGTCTTAAATGGGGAGAAAATAAGAGTTTTAAAAATGAAAAGTGGTTAACAACATTCTGAAGTGTTTAACTTTTCTATCTCTCTAAGAAAAATTGCTTTTGCTCTCTGCTGCATTCTGAAGTGTGTAACTTTTCTATCTCTAAGAAAAATTGCTTTTGCTCTCTGCTTTAAAATTTAAAAGTTGAGCTTTTAAATGACGTGTTTTCCAGGTGGATTTATTTTTTCCTTATTCCTTGAAAAACTCCTTTCCTTTGCTGGACCCTGACTATTTTATTTTTTTTTTCAGTCTAGTTCTACATATAAGCCTGTTTTTCTGGGCACTGCTGAGAGCTCCCAGCTCCTTCTGGTTTCAGTCAGAGCAGTGAGTTCTCAGCTCTGCTCAGGCTCAGACTCGGTTTCCCATCTGTGATTTTCTGCCATGTTTTCCATTTTCCATACCCTGGTTGCTCTGTGCACAGTGAACTCAAAGTATTTAGCATGACCCACAGCTTCCTCGGCTGTAGGTGCTGTAGCGACGGGAAGAGTATGGGCTACAGTTTCCCCTTCCCAGAAATGAGTACCCAGAATTGTAAGACCTGCTGTAATTACACACACCCCCATAGCCATTTGAGCCTCCAAAAAGAATGGAGCCCCTTAAGCCAACAGCATTTCCGTAGCCCCTGTAACCAAGACAGCCCCCAGAACCAAATGAGTAGCCACCGCCGACTGGTCCACAGCTGCCCACCACGCTTTCCTGGGGGCAAGAGCTGAGAATCGGTCCCGGGAAAGTCAGGAAAACGGGTGGAGGGTAAATGACAGCTCTGGAGTCATCGCAGGATGTCACGCAGAGCTCGTTGCAGGTGTTGGCCAAGGGCTGAGGGCAGGTTATGTCGCATGGGCCGCTGTATGGTAGGCAGAGGTCCCCGCAGTGAGACATCGCCGTGGAGAGTAGGTAGGTCTGAAACACAGGGAGGAGATCAGAAAAACACCAGATCCCTAGAATTTCATGCCCAGCAACTTGCAGGGAAGGCTGTCACTCGCCAGTCCCTTCCTGTACCTGGGATGAACATATGACATGAGTAGATGAGAGGTTTTTGGGGCAGCTGGGTGCTCTGCTAAGGTACATGGATACATTTCTTTCTGTAAATAACCTTAAAAGAAAGAGCAAGTTTCATTCTAATTCCAAGCTAGACCTGATTATTCCTATTTCAAGAAATTGTTAGAAATTCTGGCTACTTTAGAGCTCAGTAGAAGCACTAACTCTGAGCAGAAGTGTGTGAACTTTCTGTGAACAGGAGCCTGCCCTCAGGGTCTCTAACCTTATACCCTATATTTATTAGGTAAGTTCCTGTGTCCCTCAGGGCACTGACTGCAGTGCGTCCTCTTGCTTCAAGGCACAGATTAAATACAGAATAAGAAGCTCCTTTCACCGAAATATTTGTGGCCAATGAGCTCACTAAATAACCGTCCTAAAAAATAACCTCCAGTATTAAATTATTTCTGTAGTGAGATTGTACAAAGCAGAGGAGAGAATTTAAACTGCATGTACTCAATGGAAGTGTCTAAAACCCATCTGGGTCTGAGAGTCCCACGTTACCTCCCCAAATCTGCGTCTGCAAAAGCCCCCAATAGACTGCTTGCAGTAGAGACTTGTTCATAGCACACAGCTACGGCAATCCTGAGAGTAACAAAGCTTTACACCAAACTAAAGCTATAACAGTCAAAAGAAAAAGGCAAATCCGACTTACTTGATCCACTGAAGAGGGAAAGTTGAGAGAAGCAGGTAAACAGTCATGAACTGCAAGGGCTTTTATACAATTTCTCCAACCGCCCCGAGGCCTGAAGACCTATTTGTTGGTGTTTATCTCATTTACTTGCGTATCAGATGTTGTTCCTTGGATGATTCCTTCAACTGCTGTAATTATCTTTCTTAGGGTTAGGTGTTAGTTGCGAGCCCCATAAGGTGTGATATCCATCTGACAACTGACTTAGGCTTCTTTGTGATCACTTCTTGCAGCTGACAAGACAAAACACTTCTTTTCAAAGAAAGTGTGCAAAATTGCTCATTAGATTTTGAAAAGTTTGGCTTGAATTCCTTGGTCAATGCACTGAATAAATCCAAATCCTCCAGCTGGAGGCAGAGCTGGAGAGTAAATAAATTTGTGGACTCTCCATTTCTATGGAGAATTATAACTTCTTTACTCAATGAAGTAACAAAGAAAGTTATCACTGGAGAAGAAGGACTTATATAATTTATACTATGTATGTCTAATTAGGAGGGCTTATTTTAGCATGCTACAAGGCTGGCTTTCAAAATGTTTTTAAACAACGTAAGGCCAGATTTTATGTAGGGAAATCCTCTTAGGTACCTCTCCGATGGATGGAGCAAACTTACACCGTACAAAGACCAAAAGGTTTATAGATTTGAGACTTTGATTTTGGTACAACAGAGAGAAAATTGTATTCTATGGCAAAGAAAATAATCTTGACTTGCAGAGCTATGAAGGGCCTACTGAGGAGGATGATAAGATCATGAAACTATTACTCATTATCAAGACCTAGAACTGCAGCAACATGTCATTAATTTTATTAGAGTAGAACTCTGTATCTACAACACGTTAATCACACAGAGGTGTTTTGAAGTCCTTTATTCTGTGGGAAAAATTAGAACAACCCAGATAAGTGTTGCCTAGAGCCTCCTCACAACCACCCCACATAATTTAAGTATAATCTATGCCAGAAAGGACAAGGCTTAAATTGTCAAAAGTGTAAACAGAAGGAGAGGGGAATGAATTGCAGCAAGGCATGTGTCTGCTGCTCAGCCTCCACATGAGGCACTCATTTCATCCCACCAAACCAAATTGGAAAAAGCCAACTCAGAAAATAATGAATTGAGAAAGGCCAACCCACCCGTCAGGGTTCAGCAGTGCAGCTCGCAGCCATCATGGCAATGGACCTTATCTAAAGGTTGGGAGGAAGAGACAGGAGTGTTTGTGTCTGGAGAATGGAAGGTCTCTGCCAACACCTTCATAACCATGGTTATCGCAACCTCTGAGCGTCTGTCATTTTTGCAAACCAAGACACCTGTGGGTTTGTTATCACCCTTTATCCTTATCTCAAGG